GAATACTATCTGTAAAATTATCTATGTAAACAAACCTCATCACTTGAGAAGGTAGGTGATGCGGACGTCGTGGAAGACATTTTGTCCCTAACGCTCGCCGTACTGTTGGGGGGGAGAAGCGGTGGGGGTGAGATGTTCATGTTGCTGCGGTCTGCAGTCTGGACGTTAGATGTCGCTAAAAATTACACACTGTAGCTTTAAATCTCAAGACTGTCAGTTTTAAAGTGTTATTGTCAGTTTAAATGCTCATTTTACAAATGTTAAAATTCCCATTTTTTTTTTTAACTATGCCTTAAAATTGGTCATGTATTCAGTTAATTTTTTACCAACCCCCTGCAATGACCCTGAGCACCCCCACCCCAGGGGGCATGCTGGGCACTTTGGGAACCTCTGGTTTAGATCATGCAGTAGGTTTGGGTTTTGATTGCTTACTTCTGGTAACCAGCTATGGATGTGCTAATAAAAATGATGAGGAATTGCATATGTCTTTTGATCTAGTTTAAAAATGACAGTATACAAAGTTGGTTTCAAATTTACCAGAGTAAATTTAATAATTTGTGAAATATTAAATGATGAAAACAAGTTGAACAGGATATATTGTGCTAATCGGAAGACAACCATTTAAGGCAACTTGTTCAGTTAAAAAAAGAAAATAACACCAATACTTTCACCCATTTTAGTACATATTCTTGTGAAAACATAGGATTTTGAATTTTCATGAGACAAAAGGTGGTTATAAAAATATTGAGACTGAAAAGAAAATGGCATACTATCAAACTTTGGAAAATTAATCATTTTAAAATCCAGCATGCAAACACAAATTAAGCAATAAAATGAAGAAATATTCTAAAAAATTTACCAAAATCTTTCTTTACAAACTTTAAGATGTCTGTTGGTAATACTTTTGTTTATTGTTACACAACTATTTTGTATATTTTCTTCATGTTTGTTTTATTTAAAACACTTAGAGAAGAGTAATAGCAGAGCTAAATTGTAGGACTTTTTTCTGAACACAAAGAAAATGCGTGTAAATTCCCAAACAATATTTAAAACTACTGCCAATTTGAAAAAAAAAAAAAAAACACACACAAAAAAACACACACAAAAAAAAAAACAAAACAAGAGAAAGTAGATGCATGTGAAAGACTTTGCCTTTTCTGGATTTATCTGGTGGAGGAAAAGCTGGTGAAGCTAGTTAAGTACTGTGTCGAAGAGCGCCCCAGGTCCAAACTGTTTCTGCGTGATCCCCTCTGTGAGCCACTCCTGGACCCTGTCTTGGATCCTGGGGCTGAAGCAATATTATATGGACTGCTGATACCTCTAGAAGATACAGATGATGCCTGAAGCATTTTAACCCCAGTGCCCTCCTCAACTAGACAGTTATCAAGCACTTCTTTGTACGAAATTTTGAGTTTGCTTTTAGGACAGGTTAGATTTTTTGTATGTTGTTGGATGTCCTGGAGCTTTTGTGCTCCTCTTACATCTAGCCAGCCCATTTTCCTGGCATCCTCGATGCTTCTTCTACAGCCTTTTTCTGGGTCATAAAGCCCACCTGTTGCAACCTGGAACTCCAAAAATCTCTGGCCTGCTTCGTAAGGCAGCCACATTTCCTTCATGGCCTGAGCAGCTGACAACTTCCTATTCATCTTCATATCCTCATAACCAAAAAAGGCTTTCTGGGCAGGCTTGAGTTTAGTGGCCATATCATTAGTTATTATACCCATGTGGGAAGCCTCTTGGATGCTGACCCTCTTTCCATTTGAGGGATTGACAATGCCTCCAGTGCAAGCCTGTGCCTCAAGCAATCTCTGGGCTGTGATAGAATCTAGTAGACCCCGATTAAAAGCCTCGGTGATAGAAACCTTCTCTAACGTCTCTGTGTCAAAAATGGCCCCTACAGGTTCCACACCACCAACTGCTTCTAGAGGAGGTAGCAGAGTGACAGATACACTGGATACCTGCTTTAGAGAGTCTGGCATTTCTTCAAAAACCGTCTTGGATGAGGAGCTTTTTTCTATGGTTGTGATTTTTGTTGTAGTTGTTTTAGTAAAGGTAGGAGATAGTGGTCTCGATACTTGAGTTGAAGTAAAGGAGGAGGAAGACGATGGAAATGATGTTGCTCCTAAAGATGAGCTAAAAGATGCTGATGTTCCAGAAGTTGACATCTGTAATGATGATGTAACTGATGATCTGCCCGGTTGTTCTTGGGTCAAATTTGATGATGAGGAGGATGATAATGACGATGTTACAGATGATGTCTCATGTTTGGTCTTGTTACTAATGATATCTGCAAACTGAGCGATGGTGATAGCATTTGAGCGATATTGTTCCACAACAGATTGATCAATTACTTTTTTTTCAAGCAAATCGTTGATGTCAAACTGTCTTCCAGTTGATTTGTCAGTGATAACAAACCGTATGGAACCATCTGCAGCTGTGATGGCGATCTCTTCCCACTCACACTCCTGCTCTGACAGCTCCAGGTAGGTATCATAGTCGATGTACCCCTTGTTGTACGCTTCACGTACAGTCATCTCTTTATCTGTCTCTGGATCCACAATTATTACTCTCCTCTTTCTTACAGTATTCTTTTGGCTTGATTCGTTCTTCTTCTTCTTCTTCTTGTCTATGATTGGTAACAGGACAAGCCCAGTATTCTTATCTAAGATACAGCGTTTTTTGAGTTCCAGATAGGTTAGGTTTTCTTGTGTGTTGGGGTCAAAAAAACCTTTAGTATCATCACTCTCATCAGTCAGTATCTTGTTCATTTCCTCATTGAAGTACCCTCTCTTGTAGGCAACATCCACATCAATGCGGTGACTGTGTTGGGGATCAATGATGCCTCCACTGGCAATCTGGGCCTCTAATAGACGAATGCCATGACCCCTCTCCACTAGACCATTTTCTATGGCTTGAAAAAGGGATACTATCTGTTCAGTTCCGGGTATTTTGTAACCTGTTACAGCCTTTTCTGCTGAAAGAAGTTTGTCCTTAAATTCCGGCCCAAAAAGTCCTGTTTTAGAGGCTTCTGCAACAGTCAGAAAAAGATTTTTGACAGGATCAATCATAAAACCGGATGCAGCTTGGGCTTCAAGCAGTTCTAGAGTGGTGCCACGACGCAAAATGTCATTTTTCATAGCCTGATAGATTGAAAGCACTTTATCACTGGCTTCATCGTAAACACCTGCTATGCAATTGGAACCTCCCAGATACGACCGCAAGCGGTCCTCGATATCTTGGCCTGTAAGTTTACCTGCATTCAGCTGGTCCACATCTGATTTGTTTAGCAGGTTTGCGTCAACCAGATCAATGACAGACACCTCATTTCTAAGTCCCCTTATAGTTATCTGCTGTTCAGGTTTAGGGAGAAGCAGAAGACCAGTGCTGGGATCAGATTTGCATTTTTTCTTCAGTGATACATATGTAGTTGGTTGTTGGGTATTTGGATCAAGATAACACTCAGGAGACTGATTCAATGTCTGATGCAAGTCGTCATCAATAAGGTTTCGTTTCCTTGCAATGTCTTTGGGAAGAAAGACACCAAGGCTAGGGTCCAAAATTCCACCAACAGATTCTTGAGCCTGAAGGATGCGTAGTGCAGTCTTTTTATCAATTATTCCCTTTCTCATGGCTTGGCCGGCTGACAAAAATGTGGCAGTGCCTGGATCTCGATACCCAATAGCAGCGGCTTCGGCTGCAAACAACATTGGCTCATCCTCTTTGTCTACAAGTCCTTTGGCACATGCTTCTTTTACTGTAAGTTTCTTATTTGATCTAGGGTCAATAATGTGACCCGTGGCTGCCTGGGCCAAAAGAAGCATATTGGCACTTTCAGAAGACATTATTTTCTCTTTCTTTGCCTCTGTGAAGGACATTTTTCCAAGAGGCCCAGCAGCAACACCAGCAATTGAGCCTGTCCCCTTTAAAAAGATCTTAATATCAACAGAAACATCTGAGACAGTTTTCTTCCCTTGTATTAGCTGGCCAAATGTTTTTTTGTCCAGAACTCCACAATCTAGAAGCTGTTGTGCTGTGACTGTCTTTTGTATGCCATCAAATAATAAGTTGGAGGGGTCAAACTTCTCAGATACTGGCAAAATATGCAGGCCAGTATGAGTATTTGTATTGCATTTTGCCTTCAAAGCCCCATAGCTTATGTTTTTTTCACTTTCTGGGTCAAGATAACAAGCAGGATTTTGATTTAAAGCACGAATGACTTTGTCATCTAAAAGGTTGCGCTTGATAGCTGTGTCTTTTGGTAGAAAAACACTAAGAGTGGGGTCTAGAATTCCTCCAACTGAATCCTGTGCCTGTAAGAGGCGTAACCCAGTTGTTTCATCAATGACTCCTTTTTTCATGGCTTCAAACACTGGAATTAACCTTCCTGAATATTGATCTTTATAACCAACAGCAGCATATTCAGCTGCTAAGAATCTAGCTTGGTCTTTGAAATCCACCACTCCTTTACTACATGCCACCTCTACAGTCAATTTCTGTTCAGTTTTAGGGTCAACAATATGGCCTGTAGCAGCCTGGGCTTCCAAAAGTAAATCAGCACTGTCTTCTGATATGATCCTCTGTTTCTTAGCTTCAGTCAAGGAAATATTACCTCTGAGGCTAGAAAAAACACCAGCAATAGCCCCAGTCCCCTTTAGATTCACCTTCTTATCTTGAGATACCTCTGTAACAGTTTTTTCTCCTTTGATCAATTTTTTGAACGTTGATTGGTCGAGGACACCACATTCCAACAATTGCTGAGCAGAGACTGGCTTGCGGACGCCGTCAAATATCAGTTTGGATGGATCCTTTCTCTCACCAAGTGGCAGAAGCATCAGACCAG